AGGGGTGTAGGGTTTAGGGTTTAGGGTTTTAGGGTTTAGGGGTTTGGAGTTTGGGTTTAGGGTTTAGGGGTTTAGGGTTTCGGGTTTTGGGGTTTAGGGGTTTAGGGTTTAGGGGTTTGGGTTTAGCGTTTAGGGGTTTAGGGGTTTAGGGTTTAGGGTTTGGGAGATAACATGTCCCACAGGCCTATCTAGTTCAACTTGTTAAGGCCAAAAGCCGGAAGGCTTTACAAAGTACTGTGGACTTTACGGCTCAGGCTTGAGGAACACACAACCCAAGGGACAAGTTCAGAAAATTTCGGACAACACCTGCATCAAGAAGAAAGGCAGTAGCACCCACGTTCCAAATATCTCCCCAAACTCCATGCCCGAAACCCTCCTGAGCCCCATCATCATCTACCCCAACCCCTCAAGTGAAGTTCGATGCCGTACACACACACACACACACTTCAAGCCTCAAACAAACCTAAACTGTGATACAGAAACCCGAAACCCTGAGCCCAAACCCTAAACCCTAAACCCAAAGCCCTCACCCTAAACCCGAAACGTCCCAAACCCGCAGGGCCCGAAATATCCAGAAAAGCCCAGGCAGATCATGGGTTCTAAGTAAGACCTGGAGTTTTGCCTCAACGCTTAGACTAGGGTTCAAAACTCAGGGCTTAAGGCTTGGGGGCTTTTAGGATGTAGCGTTTATGTGGGTGTCTCGGATTTGGGTTTTGCAATACTTACAGTCATTCAGGGGCCTTAACAGTTAGAATGGGGTTTTGGGGTATATTATACTATAACAATAATAATCTCAATGATAATAACTAATAAGAACAATAATAAGACAGGCAGATGCCACGTAAGACCCTGGTTGCACGGGTGCTGGGTTCAGGACTTACCCAGAGAGCTCAATGCCGCCTGAGTAGGGAAGATACTTTAAAGTCTTTAAAGCATCGGAAGAAGCTCGGCGAACTGTAAACTTCAAAGTATGCTTCTTAAAGAAAGATGGCGAAACAGAGCTAACAACCTCTTTCGATTCTTCCGGCCAAAGGACAAGCCGCAGGCAGTCGCCATCTGGGCATACTCTACACCTGCCGCTGAGGGCTAAGAATGTGGGGTTGGGCGTTTCGGATTTTGGTGGATTCTAGTGCGTGCAAGAGCTTCTAGGTTCAGGCTCCAGGGCTTTGTAGCTCAGGACGCTTCTCCGGCAGGTCTTGGGCATTTTCTCGATTGACTCCTATGCATCCGCCCACATCCCCCGGGTTTGGACTCCTATGATTTGAAACTACGCCAGCCGGGATCACCAAACAATGAACACCTGAAGCATGCCACTACGGCTGATGATATAAACCCTGCATTTCCCATGGCACACCCATAACAAGGAAAATACCATAACTCCCATAGTATAGGGTCCTTAAGTCCTTAAGGTAATATTACCCATCATAATATATACATAATTCCCATAGTATAGGGTCCTTAAGGTAATATTACCCATCATAAGGAATATACCATAATTCGCATAGTATAGGGTCCTTAAGGTAATATTACCCATAATACGGACTCTACCATAACTCCCGTAGTGTAGTCCTTAAGGCAATATATTGCCCATAATAAGGGTTCTACCATAATTCCCATAGTATAGGGTCCTTAAGGTAATGCTATGGACGTCTATCCTCAACCGTAGGACCAGGAACTAAAGACTGTAGGGCCGGTCCTTCGCTACGCTTGGTCAGACCATAGGGGCCTTAATAATTAGAATAGGGTTTTGGGGGGCCGTTAAAGGGTTCCTTAAGGGTTTCCTATAAAGGCTACTATAAGGGCTTAGTATAGGGGCCTTAATAATTAGAATAGGGTTTGGGGGCACATTATACTATACTTGTAATCAGGACCCCCCCCCAAAAAAAAAATATAGTATAGGTAATTGTCTGGGCCCTTCTGCTACCCGGAGCACAGTCATCACCCACACATACCCACACCGGGCCGGTGGCTCGCGATGCTTGGGACATGAAGGTCGCAACTGGTTGTCATCTGTGTTTTTGCGAGCTAATATATGCCCGTTGTCGGAAGACTTCCACTACATTTGTACTCCATGTTGTTTTCGAAATGACCAATCTGGAGGCCCACACAAACCAGGAGATCATCAGAAGACCACGCACGACGAGCGCTGTGACCAGGACGACAACGACCAGGAGACCGATAAGAGACCATCAGGCGAGCCACAAGTGACCACGACGACACCAGACCGCAAGGAGACCCCCAGAAAACCACCAGCAGGAGAGCTGGGTGCTTGAAGACCAGATCGAAACTGCATTCCTCCAAGTACTGGCGCGTTTCGGGAGCAGCCGACTTATGCTTCTCCCCCCCCCCTGCCTAGGTTGTATATAGAGGCCAAGCCTTAAGGAAGGCTTAGGCGTTTAGGGTATACGATTTAGGGGTTTAGGGGTCTAGGGTTCGGAGTTTAGGGTTTAGGGTCACAAACCTTTCGTCCCAAACTTCTCGAAATCCTAAACCGTAATCCCCAACCAGCCAACAGCCTCACAGCGCGAAGCCACGAACTCTTCGAACTTAAAGCTGACTTTCTTCAATGATAAGCATGGGGGGGGGCGGGCTATCGGGACTGAGGAGCTCCCTTCGAAATCTCTTGCACCCTCCGCAAATAGGGTTTAAGGCTTTTGCTTTTGACACCCCTTTTCTCCCGCCCTCAAGTTGTTTAGAAATTAGGGCTTTAGGGGAGTTTAGGTTTAGGTAGGCTGCCGAGACGAACTTAAAATAATCAATTTCATGTGCGGAAGCCAGGCCTACGTTGAGTTCGGTTCCGACGAAGTTGTCTTCATACCACCTCGTCCCCAGCTTCGGCACATGACATGTGATCAGTTGCCCTACTTCATGGCAGTAACCATACTTGCTGCTGCAGTGGCACTACGACGACTCCTCCGAGGATTCGTACAAGTACTGGTACGAGTACGATTGCTAGTGCCAATTCTATAGCGCCAGCACTTGTACCATGACGACTACCATGACGAGTAGCACTAGCAGTAGTAGTCGTCATCGTCCACCACCACCGTCGTGGTGGTGGTTGTGGTGGCGGTGGCGGCGGTGGTGGTGGTGGTGGTGATGCTGGTGGTGCTGGTGCTGGTAGTGGTGCTGGTGCCGGTGCCGGTGCCGGTGCCGGTGCCGGTGCTGGTGCTGGTGTTGGTGCTGGTGATGGCAATACTAGTCCTAATCCTAGTACTAGTACTAGTGGACGAGGCGATAAAGGCTTCAACGACTCGTAACTTACTAGCAAATGGTAACATGACGATAGCTTATATTCGAAGCAACCCCAACAACAACGGCAGTTGATTTCAGATAATGACTTTCATAGCGGTGACGGCACTGACGCATATGTAATCTAGAGAAGGTGCTGGTGATGAACATGACCATGGTCATGCAAACAATCTTGTTCTCCGGGCCTACGCACACTTCATAGCTCACTGCGAAACTAATGCTTCCGAAGTTCCGAACCTTCGACCCCCAACAAGAATGGGTAACCAACAGTGTCTAAACAGTTCCTGTCCTGCTTGTAAACTTTCCACGATGCACACATCGCCCATGCTGGTCTTGAGAGCATGTGATTGGGAGCTTGGGATTGATGACTCTGAGTGCTGCTTGTGGCATCTCTTCTCGCTACATGCCAAGGTTACAACTGGTCAGGAGGCAAATAATCCATATGCCAACACAAACAGCTACGAAGACTCCTCGCAAAAAGACGGGCGGAGTTTACGTTTATTAGGACACTATCTCTAGTGCGGTCGGAGGAATCTGTCCGTTGTTAACTAGGTGAGTTCCAATCGTTTGGGCGCCAATAGCAAGATTTGTGATGATTCATAGCTGCACGTATTCAGACAAACGCAAATGTGAAGGCACCACCTCTGTTGATACCGAGCTTGGCCGCATCAAGTGAATCTAGCGGGTAGCATCTGCCGGCGAAGAGCAATGTCGTGTTTCGCTTCTCGGCGCCCCACCTGGGTTGAATGTAACATCTTGCAGAGGGACAGCTCTCGTGTTTCGGCTTGCACCTTCGACCCTAAAGCCCCACCAACTAAGCAGAGGAGATTGAACAGAGCCTAAGAGGACAAAGCCTGCATTTAAGAGCACTTTTGCATTAACAGTGAGTTCTGTCTTAATGTTCAGCTTGAAATGCATTGCCGGAAAACCGGAAGATCTGTCGCCAAAACGAAGACTTCACGGCCAGTGCTCAAGTATCTGAAAGGTTTGGACAACTGGCTCAGCAATTGCTTGTCAGGTGATGCTTGTACTTGGCACGTGAATGACTATAATCACTCCTGGCTGCAACAACCACTGAGCATGTAAATGCTAAACGTGGTACATTCATTGCCGGTTTGGTAATTATTGTCGCCCTTTCTATCCAACTGCTGTGCGCATATCAGCAGGTGCGATCGACAACGGCAAAACGGTCCTCCGCAGACTTGCTGCGGCATATTGAACTTTTGGAGGCGTACTGCGGGCTCGGCGGTTTTCCTACAAGAGCGAAGGAAGGGTTCTTGAAGCAGCTAGACCTTGCACACAGCCAAGTGGCTGGTAATTCCGGAAGACCACCATGGTCACACCTGGCCTCGGGAAGGACCCCCACACGAATTGAATACTCTCGGAAACGATTGGTTTCGGCATGACGAAGCGCATAGTGCAGAAGCTACAGAATCAAAAGTTCGTACCCAAACCCCTACCCCGAAAGCGTGGACTGCCTGTCGCTCACAGGGTATAAGGTTCGGAAGCATGTAGATGCAAAAGCAACAACCACCAACTCGCGGCGTGACTCGCCGATTGAGCGGAACATTGCAACAACAAGACATAGTGGCTCCCTCTAGAACCGAAGCTACCACGTGGACGTGTTGTCAAGAGGACAGCTTGCGGTTATTCTACACCCACAGTTTGGCACAAAGTCGAAAATGATGGCTAAACATCGTTTGTATGGATTTGGGAGAAACTTCTACACCAACCATACGACTTTACGAACATATTGATCACTATGCAGGCATGGTACATTGCCTTTCACCGCCAAATACCCACCCATCGTGGGAGACGCTAATCGTACTTGCCCTTTCAACACAAATACGCACTGAAAGGTCGTTCTATACACTGGGGCCCGCTACGTCCTGATTATGAAGACTGACGTAATTGTATGGGGACACCGAGAAACACTTCAGATTTAAGAGAAGTACCTGCATGAGAGACAGCGCATGATGTCTAACAGCATTCTCTCGATGGACATAAAATTCAATTGTTTTGGGCATCGTTGTGTCGTGTGTAAGGTGTGCAGCAACACAAACTGAGTGCAAGAACCCGGGCAATCTGCATCTCATCAGTAACTTCTGCTGACTGGACAAGTGCTGCGAAGTCCATTGCCAAAATACTACTCTAACCAGAAGCTGAAATCAACTCTAAGCCCAACGAAATCATAACAGTAACTGTCATAACAACAGTAGCAGCGGCGACAACTGCAAAGCAACAACACAACAACATTCATAGCAGCAATAATAACCACAGGTATCACAAAAATCATAATCGCTTGGACAACAACAACAACAACAACAGCAGCAACAGCAACACCAGCACCAACACCAACAACAACGACAACAACAACAATAACGACAGGGTACAAACAAAAACCGCAGACCCGTCAACCCATATGTCTGCTTTCTATCTGTGCATTAGGTAGGGACAAGAACAGGAGCCCCGTCATGTTGTTTTTGGCCTTGTTTTTCCCCCCCCCCCCCCCCACCACAACAACAAGGCGCAAACACACACTGTACCAACAACAATAACCCAGCAGCAGCAACAACAACAACAACACCAACAACAACGGCAACAACGGCAACAGCAACAGCAACAGCAACCGCAACCGCAACAGCAACAGCAACCGCAACAGCAACAGCAGCTGAAGCAAGAGCAGGAGCAGGAGCAGGAGCAAGAGCAAGAGCAAGAGCAAGAGCAAGAGCAAGAGCAAGAGCAAGAGCAAGAGCAAGAGCAAGAGCAAGAGCAAGAGCAGGAGCAAAAGCAGCAGCACAACAGCAACAGCAGCAACGGCAGCAGCAGCAGCAGCAAGAGCAAGAGATCTAACACCAGCATAGCAGTAGCATAAATACCAGTTGCTGTCGCTGTTGCTGCTGCTGCGGTTGCTAGTACGAGTCTCGCTCGTACTACGAGAGATACTACTAATAATAACAGTGCTACTCCTGCTACCACTACCACTAGCTGTACTACGACGACGACTACAACTATTGCTGCTACTCCTACTGCGAATACTACTACTCACTGCTGCTAGCTCCTATATACATCAACAGCATGCCCAAACATGTGCTGCATGATAGTCAAGCCGCCTGACAACAATGATGATGACGATCACTGGTGATGATGACGCAACGAAGATGAGCTCGTGATGATGACGATGATGGTATCCAATATGGAGATGATAGTGGCGCTGATGGCGGCGATGATGAGACAAAGGATGACCGCATCAAATCCTTCCAACTGGGTTGCGCGGAAAGCCGCTGTCGTCGTCGTCATCATCATCATCACCACTATCACCCTCATCACATCTTCCTCGCCAGCACCATCGGCTCAGCAGCGTACAACAGCGACCATCAAACATTACATCCTGATCACCATGCGGCTATTCTACTGCTTTTCACCATAATTAACATCACCCACAACACACTTCATCTTCCTCACTATGTTCTTGGCTGGCCCCTCTCCTTGATATGCACCGTCAAAATTTAGACTCTGAAGGTGTCCGGTGTGCTCAGATACACTTGGGTCATGGCCAATCACCTCGTCCGCAAGAAGTCAACTCCTTGAAAGAAAGGCGAAACGGGGGGGGGACGGTGCATAGGGGCCAAAATAATTAGAATAAGGCTTTGGGGTATGTTATACTCTGATTATAATAAGGAGCCCCCCAAAAAAGTATAGGTAATTATTTAAGCCCCTATATTAAGGTTGCCTACTCAGTCAGGACGCAAGGCAGCACCCTGCAGCCAAACACCTTTGAAGCCTCTGAGCCCGTTGCAAAGCCCACAGCCGTTAGAAGCACAAAATCATATTCTGAGGGCGCAGTAACTTTTCCTAGCGTTGAATGCTCTTATGGCGTGACAGCCCCCATCTTATGGCCAGCCCGAAACGCTAAGTAAGGCCTAAACCTAACAGAGTGTTCCGCTGCAAGTGAAGAAGCCTAGACAAGTTTAGGGATTTTGCGTTGCATGCTCCAAAAATATGAAGCTTGTAGAATCTCGAAGCCGACAGAGTTCCTAAACATGTCACGCTTCTACACGCCCTGCATGTGAAGCACACACAATCCAGAACCAGTGCCTTGCGAAAGCGGCGTTGCGAAAATCGAACGTGCACACATGCTCAACAGATACATCATTGTGTATACATAGGAACATACGCACATGCATACATGCATGTATGTATGTTTTCATTCAACCGTTCACATACAAACAAAAATATGTGCCTAGACACGTGCACACATCCATATACATATAAATATACACATAAATATACACATATGTAAACCTACATACATACATACATACCTACATGCTTCTGTATATATATATATACATATATATATATATAAAGTATAGATATATATGTATATATATATATACAGATAGATAGAGAGAGATGCATGTGCATATGTATACACACACATCTACATCGATACATCTCTACATCTCTGAATCTGTACACCCATTCATCTATACATGTGTGCATCAATACAGATGTACATACATACATGCATACATATACACATATGTACATATGTACTTGTGTGTGTGTGTGTATGTGCATGGAAGACACCAATATGGAGAGAGAGAGAGAGATAGAAGAGAGAGAGCGAGAGAGCGACAGAGAGAGATCGAGGAGAGAGGGCGAGAGAGCGACAAAGACAAAGAGAGCGAGAGAGGGGAGTGGAGCTACCCCTTGCGACTGACTGACTGGCTTACTGGAGTGATCCCGGGTCGCGGGTATCAACTCCTTAGCCAGTAGTCCTCAAGTGGGGAAGGCTCCGAAGCCTGTCTGGAAGATTCCTAGAATTGGGGGTCTTGTGATAGGGAGTTACCATTTAGGGAAGTTCAAGGTGGGCGTGTGTCTGTGTATGTGTATAAATGTATAGGTATACACATATATTTATTGATGTATACACATCTAAACATACATCCGTACGTACATACATACATACCTACGTACATGCATGCATACATACATACATACATACAGACAGACAGACAGACAGACAGACAGACAGACAGACAGACATACATACATATATATATATATATATCTGTTTGTACATATAAGTATATTGCATGTATGTATATATATATATACACACACACACTTCTGAGTATGCGCTTGTGTGTTGGTGAGTGTGTGTTTGTTGGGTGTGTTTGCGGGGCGTGCGAGTGGGGTGTTCTGGTCCCTGAATGAATGAAACCAATGCCCCCTTGCAACCTGGAACTTAGATCGATTGTTATTACGGGCTTAGGATTTATGGTTCCCTGTTGGGGCTCGCTTAAAAATAATCTTTGTTGATCCTTATTGGGTCTGATTAGAACAAAAAAGTAAAATTGTATCCAACGAGGACCAGGATTTATGCTTGGGATCATATATGGGGGTAGAAAGTTTAGGGTACAGGGCTTGGGGCTTAGGGCTTTGGGTTTAGATTCTGGCCGAGCTTCGTTGATAGAGATGCCGAAAGCACCATCGCCCGCAAAGCCAACCACCGGCACAGTGGGGTTTCCGACCTTTTAGTCGTCTAAGGTACGAAACACTTGGAGTCGGGTTGAGGTTTCAGGGTTTCAGGGTTTTAGGGTTTAGGGTTTAGGTAGGGTTGAGGTTTCAAAGCCCTAAACCCGTACGTCCAAAGCCAGCTATACTTAACCCTATACCTGCCGAGGCTCCTGTCTGATCCAAGCTGTGATTTGTAAGACTGAAGATTCCTTGCTTAAGCTTCGTTTGGATTTCGCTCGGCTGGATATCGGGGGCCTTAGATAGTATACAGTAGACTAGACGTGTGATCAGGAACCCTAAGGAATAATATGTCTACTTATCCCAGCTTCAACTGCTAAGGGTAAGGAGAAGCGACCGATTCCGAATCGGACTATATAATCGGAGCCCAACTCTGCATAAGAGAGCCACGGCTTAGGGTTGAGGGTTTAGGGCCCAGGTTGAGTAGACTGGGATTGTACAACTCACTTTTAGGGCAGGCAGTTTAAGATAGCTTGGCTTCCTTGTAGCTATGAGTTCTAGGGTATACTTAAAGGATCATGGGACCTAATAACTAAGGTTATTTTTAGGATAACTAGACTTATAACTACTTATAATTCCCATTAAGGTACTTCTGACCATACTTACTAAGTCCTACGGTTGATGGACAAAATCCTGCATGACCTTATATACCTAAACCATGGGATTTATGGTACTATACTATATTTGCGTCATGCAGAATTTTGTCCATCAACCGTATGATCCTCCAAGTAGGGTTTAGGGTCCAGGGTGCTACATGTGCCTCTTTCTCAAGGCAGTATGCCAGGCGAACCATACCTTTGCGGTGTCCCTGTTACAGTCCAGGGTTTGGGGTTTAGGGTTTAGGGTTTAGGGTTTAGGGTTCAGTGTATAGGGTGATTTCACACCGGCCTGCAATGTGCGTAATGTAGGGGCCTTAATAATTAGAATAGGGTTTCGGGGGTTCCTTGTTATGATTATAAGAGACCCCCAAACCCTATTCTAATTATTGAGGCCCCTACATTAACTGCGAACCCAGAAAGAAATCTCAATTGCGAGGGTTGCAGTAGCTCAGTAGCAGCCCTGAACCGCAACCCTAACAGCGCCCAGCATGTCCTGAAAAACCTCACCCCACAACAGGCCCTGCACTCTGAACTCTGCAACCTAAACTACTAAGCACTAAATCCGAAACTCCTAAACCCAACCCCCGCACGCTCCACCCAACAACCTCCCAATTGCCAGAAACAGAAAAACGGAGTTTGAAGTGCCAAATTTGACCCAAGAGACCTTAGATAGTCGGATCTTCAATGTCAATTGCACGAACACCTAAACCCTCAACCCCAAAGCCGAAGTACAACACATGTCCGAGCAGAATCCAGGCCTTAGCTCCAAGGATGGATGGAAAGCCATATCCTGCACTCTTTTGCGAAGAAGGGTTGAGGATATAAAACCCGGCCTCTGGGTTGGGATTCAGGGTATCCCGCACTCGTTTTCCAGCAGGATTTTGGCGTTTCGGGTTCAGGGCGTAGGACTTTGGATTTAGGGTTTGGGTTGCAAGGGTTCTACAACGGTCCTATGAGGTCCTTAGCTGGAGAACTGGAACTGGCGGCATATTTTGAGGGTTTGAGGGTCAGGGCTCCAGGTGAAGGGCCACGTACTGTAGAGGCCTTAATAAGAAAGAAGGATCATGGGCTCCTTTCTAGTATTTTATAAGAAGGATCATAGGGAATTTTAGCAGTAATATGGTAAATATTTAGGCTTCTACATTGCAGATGAAAGCAATCGGAATATTTAAGGAAGAAGACGAGCACACACACACACACACCACGGATAAGAGGAGGGAGAAGAGTCACAACAGCAACATGGTGACGACAACCACGTTGACGAGGACGAGGAGGAGGACGGTGGTGCTTCTGGCGATCATTACGGCGACGATGATGATGATGGTTTAGGGTTTAGGGTTTAGGGTTTAGGGTTTGGGGTTTAGGGTTTAGGGTTTAGGGTTTAGGATGTAGGGTGTAGGGTTTAGGGTTTAGGGTTATGATAATGATGATGATCAAATTCCGGCGTAAAGATGACCGCTTCCGGCGATAAGGGGGGAAGGGGGTCTTACGGCGGGGCCGCAGCTCTGTCACGTCTATGTGTGAAGGTAACCGGGGTTTATCATCTCAGAACAACACCGTCATCTCTGTACCATATTGTGGTATCTTGTTCATTCATGGTATATGTGTAGAGTGTTATATAGCATAGTGTAGCATACTCGCCGTAGGCTTATCAAAATATTGCTATACTAAACCTGCACCTCAAAACCTAATCCAAACCGATTCCCACCTCCTAAAACTGCCACTGCCACTGAATCATTGGCAGATTCCGCCGCCTATCTAATCTAGGTCGGCCTTCAAAGACTTGGGGTACACTTGTTCCTAAGATCCTCTTCGGTGCCATAGGGGACAGCAGAAAATGCAGCAAAGGCATACATAGTATTTCAACAAGCCCGCAACAGAAAAGGCGTCGAGAAGATGATGTAAGCCCATCAGCCCTAACGCCCGAAATCCAGTCGGCTTCTGGCTCCTAAACCCTAAACCCTAAACCCTAAACTCTAAACCCTAGGCGTAAGGTACGGTCCGCAAGGACCGAAGAGGCCCGGCGCCAAGTACTTTCGCGGCGATGGGAAAGACGGATAGGCGTTGCCGATCGCCTCCCAGGAGGTCGGACTTCAAAGATAAACCCTTAACCTCGACCCGAAACCCTAAACGTACTACTTATATATATATATATATATACCCTAGATTTAATAAATCCTAAACCCTGAATGCTAAATGCTAAATCCTAAGTCCTGAAAGTGTTGGGAGTTCGTGCCGGCCGATGGGCCGGAGCCACTTCAAAGGCGATGGGTCCGGGAAGTACTTCGGTTTAGGGTTTAGGGGTTTAGGGGTTTAGGGGTTTAGGGTTTAGGGGTTTAGGGTTTCGGGGTATAGGGGGTAAGGGCTTTAGGGTTTAGGGTTTAGGGGGTTTAGGGGTTTAGGGTCTAGGGTTTTGGTTTTAGGGTTTAGGCGTTTAGGGTTCAGGGTTTAGGGTTCAACAGGCGCCCAGAGACCGTGGAGGATTCAATCTGACTTGGGAAGCAGAAAACTGAGAAATTAATCCTAAGCCTTTTTGGAGCTTGCAGGGATGCTGGTATGTTCGACGCTCAACTCGCAACATCTCATTCTACCCGCCTGGGGGGGAGGGAGGAAGGAGCGGAAGCATCGATCAAGATCTCGAAATTCTGTCATCCCTAAACCCCCTAAATCCTAAGCCCTAAACCTTAAATACCATATTTAGAATCAGGAACTCCCAAAATAGTATAGGTAATTATCTAGGCCCTTATGTTACAGACATGCAGATTCGGGATTGAAGGGCGGGCTCAGGTTCTGGCTGTTGAAGCTCTGTGGTTTGCTTAGGGTTTAGGGTTTAGGGTTTAGGGCCGTTTAGGGTTTAGGGTTTAGGGGTTTAGGGGTTTGGGGTTTGGGGTTTAGGGTTTGGGGTTTGGGGTTTGGTGTTTAGGGGCTTGGGGTTTAGGGTTGAGGGTTCAGGGTTGAGGGTTTAGGGTGTAGGGTTTAGGGTTTAGGGGTTTGGGGTTCAGGGTTCAGGACTTAGGAGTTCCGGGTTTAGGGTGCAGCTTTCGCTTTTGAGG